CTATGTTTTTTATTAGCTCTAATCATTTACCTGTGTTCATATAATATAACGAATAGATATCAGAGAAGTATATAACTGTCGACAAGAAAAATTAAAATAATTAACTTTATTAGATCATTAAGGTAACAAAGCGGAATTTATAATCATAATTATTGCGTTGATTTAAATTTGCTGACGTGCCTATTTCTGTGTGGGCTTTGAGTATGCCCTTGATAATTAATTTAAGCCCAAGTATTTAGTAAAGTTGGATAATAAACCGGACCATTTACACCACGATGTGTAATTAAACCGGTCGAATTGGTTTGATCGACCAAATCAATGAATACGTACAGTTCGTATAGAAGTTTACAAAATATTGAAGAAATTAATCAATAGAAAGTGAGTTAATTAGTAAAGTCGTTTACATTTTATTTTATAAGTATTTGAAATAAATTAAAACTTGTTCTGAAAGACTAATCGAATATATATTTACCAATTTTCTCATGTATATAATATATCCAATCAAGCAAGCTAATTTTCTTTATCCGATACAGTAGCTCTAAAGTTATGAAAACCTAATGATGGCATTAATTTTAATTTTACTTTTTTTTATTCGACTTTAACTATGTTTTCTTTAATCTAACCTGGAGGTTATGATTTAAGAAAAAAAAAAAAAAAAAGATAATCGATCTGATAAAAGTAACCCTAAGCTGTACCCTTTATACCATTGGAAGATTTACTTTCTTTTGAAAAACAAAATCTTTAATTACACATAAAAAGAAGATTTATATAAAGGAGACGAAAGAAAAACAATAAAGAGAAATATTCTCGTTGGGATCAGAGAAACTAAGAGATCGGAGAAAGAATGTGGCAGCAATGATCAGTTAATACGTCATCGTTTTTATGCATGCAGAATATAGTCATACAAAATGAAGCAAAACGAGAAAGTGAAAGTACTTAATAGCTTATTACAGACATTTATATACGTCTTTTATTTAAAATTTTCTTATAACCTTTTCTTTTTGCTTTTATTTGTTTTTTTCTTTCATTTTTTTTTTCTCTTGAGCTGTAACTTTAATCACATTCTCTTAGATTTCAGGGGCAAAAGCTCTTCACACCTTCCCTCTTTATTCTTTTATTTGCTTTAGTTTTTTTTTATCCCCCTTTTGGTCCTTTTCTATTGTCCCCGACTTGTCTCTCTAATATCATTTCTTGCAATAACTCGAGATTTATGGTTATGTAACATATTGTATAGTTTAATATCGGTTATTTTGATACATATACAAAATCGGTTTTATATTGAACTGTGGTTTCCCATAAAAATGATGATCTACCATCGGTTGATCTTTCGGCAGATAAAAGTAAACTAAATGCAAATGAAACAATTATCTGCAGCACACTAGACGACCGCCGAAAATTGTTCAACTTGCACCATATGTTGAACCCTCCAAAAAAAAAAATGTTCTAGCTACAATCTGCAATTTCTTTTTGCATATTTTGGGCTCAACCTGAAATATGATGTATAGAGTATGGACGTAACAAATCGTTTGTTTAATCATAAAATTTAGATAATTCGGTTTATAATCTTTTTAAGTAGGCCGCCAACTTTCAATACTACTGAAATTGTCTATCTCCACAGTAAGTAACATAGTAACATGTTTGGCTTCCACTTAAAACAAATTTTAGCTCTCAACGTTTAATTCGTCGATCGTATACATTTTAAGGTATTATTAATCTAAATTTGTGGCATTGTACTATGAACAACCCTGATATATAGATACAAGTTCTAAGGAAATATAATTGACTACGACGAATATGCAACTATATGTCAGAAACGACTAAGAAAAGCTGTGTTTGTATAATCTCATGTACATGTATTACTATTGAACTATTGTGTATTGAAAAAAATTGAAATACTTTAAAACATGATTCGATAATTTGGTACGTGAGGTACAGCCTTTGCATGGGAGATGGAGCAGACATAATGATTATGAGATACGTATACATGTTGTGTAAAATAAATTGATTTACTGATATTAAAAAAAAAAAGGTGGTAATAATTCGAGTACCATGAATGATCAAAAGTACTCTGTGGAAACTTAACTGCGTCACACAATAAAGCTTAAAATTCTATATAACATGCAATGTTTTTCTCCATCCTGACACCAATCGCGCGCCAGTGAGGACCACCAAATCTTTTCTATTAGCATTAGATATTGGATTATTGTATGGCTTAAATAATATTTACGACGAATAGCAGTTACATATCTTTGTAAAAAGTCTCTTGCAAATCCAAAATTAGATGAATCATTAGGGTTCAAATATGTGATCAACTGTATGTATGGAACCGAATAACACTACTTAGGGTTCCAAATATTGGGTATTATCAGTAATCCACGTAATGGCACAATGATTTTGCATGAGAGAGAAAGCGAAATCCTGTTAACTATCGTCATTTTGCAATTTTATAGGTTTTCAATCACACATGTATTCGGCAACACAACATCTTAAGATCTTTTAACAAATTTAATTGAAAGAAAAAAATCAATGATTTAAAAAACCCACTCAATTGAAATATACAATGTTTTGAGTTTCTTTATGTATAGTAATGTTATAAATCCTGAAACCCCACAAAAGTGCCCTTACACTTCTTGATTCACGAGCTACATACTTTGACCGAGAAATCTTAAGCGAAACTAATTTTTTGTTAGTATCTGGCTATAAACGTTTCAACTAGATAAAACCTAACACGGTTAACTGATTTTTGTAAGATTCCATTATGGATCTTGTTTTTATAAGATCTAATATATTAATATTATCATACCAAAAAAAAAACAGATCTAATATATATTAAAACTCATGTTATTACTGAAATGCTGTAACTTCGTTAATTATTATTATTTTTTAAAATGAAAAGTAGACGGGCGTTCTAAATATTTTGTTAAATGTACTTACAGTTTCCTCCAATTTGTAATTGATGATATATAATTTTTGCCCAACTCATATATATATACCCACATATGTATATCTTATGTGTTTAGGGAGAGGGAGAGGGAGAGGGGGAGAGAGAGGCTAGGGATGATAGTGCTTTGAAAATTGAAAGATGGGAGAGACAGATTGTTGCTTTTTGGAGGAGTTGAAGAATGAAATTCTGTCTCTCTTCAAAGATCAGCCTCAAAGACAGTGACACCACCTCAATTTTTATATAATTTATGTTGTTATATATATTGTAAATTTAATTTCACGTCTCTTTATTATTAACTGTTGCTTTTCTTTGTGGTTACGCTCTTTGAGTTCTGTAATTCTAGGAAGATCGAGATTTGGGAGAGACTAAACAAAAAGATTAAATATGACTCTTTCCTTTATATGAAACTATTCCCTACATAAAAGAAAACTATTTAATACATTAAGATATAATGTCGTTGGATAGCTTGGTTGAGCATAATATTAGTGGAAAAGTTTTATAGTTCTCTCTCTTTCTCAAATTTAACTTTGTGATGACACCTACAATATCACTAAAATTTAATTTAAAATATGAAAAAGAATATGGACCAGAGATTCAACTGCCGGATCTCCTCATTATGAGAGAGCACTATTTCCGTTCCTAATATTTCAGTGTGGTCACATAGATTTGCTTGAACAAACATCTTGAAATATAATTTTCAAATCTATATATATATATAGTCAATAGTCATACATATATATTATTGGGAGATTTAAAAGTTGTACTTTAGGAACGGAAATAGTGCTTTCTCATAATGAGGAAGATCCGGCAATTCAATCTTTGGTCATACATATATATCAAGTTAATGATATGGACATGTTTGATTGGTCTACAAGACTACAACACACACATTTTGTATGACGACTAGAGATGCATAGGACCAGTCATGTCCTAGATCAATCAAACATGCCCTCATTTGTATTCAACTGGTTAACTGAAAATCTATCTGCTGTATCACATGACCAGACCAGATACATATTTTACATAATTTAGAACTTATTTAGAATCGTTTTTTAAAGGACTAAATCTTTTAATTAAGAACCAGATGGGATTAATCCTCACAAAATCCGTATGCATTAAGGCAAATCCATGCATATAAATTTTATGTACATATATTATTACACTTATATATGTGTGAACGATGCCGGTTTTATGAACCAGAGGAGCATCCCAGATATGTCTTTTAAACAATTATTATAAGCTCAAATGTATTTTGGACATTTCGGTGCTATAAGAAAATGAAAAAAGTGTCTAAATCTAGATAATTCAAATTTAACGATAAATTCTAGGTTAAAAATACAAGAGTTGAGTTTTCCCAACCTATGTGTAGTGTGAGATTGGAAAGAGCTGAGTTTGAAGGTGACGTACAGATGCTAATTGAAAGTATTTACACACTGGTTTAAAACCTTCATATACATCATAATCCTATGATCACTACAAAGATCAAAATAGAAGTTATAAATATCGTCACTACAAAGATCATAATCCTATGATCACTACATAATCCAACTTCCTCAAGATCAGCAATTAGATGTGTCGATATTATTGAAGTTTACCTTTCCATGTAATGCTAAATATCTACTGTTTATGGTAAAGACAAAATAGAAGCAAAAAACTTTAGAGTGCCCTAAATTCTATCATATTAATTTAGTGTCTATGGTATTTGTATAAATGAAAAGAATAACCAAACATTAAAAAATTTCACTGGGCCTCAGCTATTATTAAGCCGGCCCTCAATATTTCATATGTATATGTATAAAGATGAAATATAATATAGTTCGACACATTTTTAACTTGAACCTGTGGAGGGAAACGAAGCTTGAAGGAAGTGGGAAATTCAAAAAAGCTTCAGAAAGCTGCCTTACTATTCAAAAGACGAAAGCAAAAGGAGAATATAATTTATTAAAAAACAAAAACCATAAAGAAAATTATATTTTATTAATAAAAGAAAAAACAACATCGAAAGTATGAAACCAACCCAACAATATAAATTCATAACTTGCTCTGTCCTCATCTCTTCGATACTTCTCTCAGACTAAACATATCTTTATAACACTAAGTTTACTTCCACCATTACTTTTTCTTCCTTTCAAAAACTTCAAAGTCTTGACCTTTTGTTTCTGGGTAGAGAGGAAATTAAGATTCAATTTGATAACAAAGAGAGATAGATTCTTGAGAGGGGTTTAGGGTTTAAGGTGGGTGGTTTTGTGATGCGTACAGGGGCTTATACCGTGCACCAGACACTAACACCAGAGGCTGCTTCAGTTTTGAAGCAATCTCTAACCTTAGCAAGAAGGAGAGGCCATTCTCAAGTCACTCCTCTTCACGTTGCTTCGACACTTTTAACTTCGTCAAGATCCAATCTTTTTCGAAGAGCATGTCTCAAATCCAATCCTTTCACTGCCCTCGGTCGCCAAATGGCTCACCCTTCTCTCCATTGTCGAGCTCTCGAGCTCTGTTTCAATGTTGCTCTCAACAGGCTTCCGACCAACCCAAATCCTCTGTTTCAGACTCAGCCTTCACTCTCCAACGCTCTCGTCGCGGCTCTGAAGAGAGCGCAGGCGCATCAGAGGAGAGGGTGTGTGGAGCAGCAGCAGAGTCAGCAGAACCAACCATTCTTGGCGGTTAAAGTCGAGCTCGAGCAGCTTGTCGTGTCGATTCTTGATGATCCTAGTGTGAGTAGAGTGATGAGAGAAGCTGGACTCTCTAGTGTTTCTGTGAAGAGTAACATAGAGGATGATTCCTCTGTTGTTTCCCCTGTTTTCTACGGCTCTTCTTCTTCTGTTGGTGTCTTCTCTTCTCCTTGCTCTCCTTCTTCTAGTGAAAACAATCAAGGAGGAGGGACTTTAAGCCCTAATCCTAGTAAGATGTGGCATGCGCATCTGACCAATCACCACTCTTTTGAGCAAAACCCTTTCTTTCATTTCCCTAAAGGAAAGACCTTTACTCCAGATCAAGCCTTTCCCGTGAGAGAAGACGCAAACCCGGTTATCGAAGTGCTTCTAGGAAAGAAGAACAACAAGAAGAGGAACACTGTCATAGTTGGAGACTCTGTTTCTCTAACGGAAGGAGTGGTTGCAAAACTCATGGGTAGAATTGAGAGAGGAGAAGTTCCAGATGATTTAAAACAAACCCATTTCATCAAGTTTCAGTTTTCACAAGTTGGCTTGAATTTCATGAAGAAGGAGGATATAGAGGGACAAGTTAGGGAATTAAAGAGGAAGATTGATTCTTTCACATCTTGGGGTGGCAAAGGTGTGATTGTTTGTCTTGGAGATCTTGATTGGGCAGTTTGGGGAGGCGGTAACAGCGCATCTTCTTCGATTTACAGTGCGGCGGATCATCTAGTGGAAGAGATAGGGAAATTGGTTTATGATTATAGCAAATTAGGGGCCAAAGTTTGGCTCCTAGGGACAGCTTCTTACCAAACATACATGAGATGTCAAATGAAGCAACCTCCACTTGATGTTCAATGGGCTCTTCAAGCTGTTTCAATTCCTTCAGGAGGACTTTCACTAACCCTTCATGCTTCCAGGTTTTTATCCTCTTCTTATAATTATTTTCAAATCTTTAATCACTAACTTAAGTATTAGTGATCCATACTAAATTAGTTAATGTTTCAGTGGTCACAGTTCTGAGATGGCTTCTCAAGTGATGGAGATGAAGCCATTTAGAGTTAAGGAAGAAGAAGAAGGAGCACGAGAAGAAGAGGAAGAAGATAAACTCAATTTCTGTGGAGAATGTGCTTTTAATTATGAAAAAGAAGCAAAAGCTTTTATATCAACTCAACATAAAATCTTACCGCCTTGGCTGCAACCTCATGGAGACAACAACAACATTAACCAAAAGGTACAAACTTTTTTTTGATAAATGAATGATCATTGTTTTGTTATCAGCGTTTCTGCAGTTACTTAACCGTTTTTTTTTTGTGGGTTTAAGTTTCAGGATGAATTGAGTGGACTGAGGAAGAAATGGAACCGGTTTTGTCAAGCTCTTCACCACAAGAAACCTGGTATGACTGCTCAAGGCTACGGTTGGAGGGCGGAACAGAGCAGCTCTGCTTTACCGGGTTCTTTTGTGGACTCAAGTCTGAAGCAAAACTCGCGTGCATCTAGTTCGGTTGCGAAATTTAGACGACAAAACTCGTGTACTATCGAGTTTAGTTTTGGGAGTAATCATCAAGAAGGTCTAAAGAAAACCGATGAATTGAGTTTGGATGGATTCAAGAGTAACAATGATGAAGGTGTAGAAACCAAGATCACTCTTGCACTTGGTCATTCTCCATTTCCATCTGATTCAGAGAACTCGGATGAAGAAGAGCCAGAGAGAGTGATTAAAATGAGTGAATTATTGGAAAAGCTTCACGAGAACATTCCATGGCAAAAGGAAGTTCTTCCTTCAATCGTTGAAGCCGTGGAAGAATCTGTCAAGAGGAGTAAAAGGAAAGATGCATGGATGCTGGTTTCGGGGAACGATGTGACTGCGAAAAGAAGATTGGCTATCACAATGACAACTTCTCTTTTCGGGTCACACGAAAATATGTTGAAGATCAATCTGAGAACATCCAAGGCAAGTGAAGCATGTGAGGAGCTCGAGAATGCGTTCAAGAAGGGGGAAGAGGTTGTTATTTTGATAGAGCGAGTTGACTTAGCCGATGCCCAGTTCATGAAACTCCTCGTAGATCGATTTAAGGCGGGAAAGTCTGCAGATTTGGATAGTTTTCAAGGAAAGAAGAGCCAAATCATCTTCCTTTTGACCAGAGAAGATGATGAATGTGTAGAGAATGACCACTTTGTAATACCAATGGTGTTGAAGTGTAGCAAATCGGGTTCTGGTTTGGTCAATCACAAGAGGAAACCGGAATTTGATGCTGCACCAACGATGATTAAGAAGAAGAATCCAAGAATCGAAGACGAGGATGACGAAAGCAATGTCGCTTGCGACATAAGCAACATTAAGAAAGAGTTCTCAAGACAGTTGAAATTCGAATCCAATGCTCTTGACCTCAACTTAAGAGTTGATGTCGACGACGACGAAGAACAAGAGGCTAAACCAGCCACTCAAATCACAAGCGGGTTTGAAGAACGTTTTCTAGACTCAATCCAAAACCGGTTTGATTTCACAGTTTTGTCAAACGAAGATATAACTAAATTCTTCGTGACGAAGATCAAAGATTCATGCGAGGAGATCCTGGGGCAACGAGAAGAGAGATTCGGGTTTACCGTCGACGCGGAACTGATAGAGAAGTTTTACAGAGGGTTTGGTTTTTTTGCTAACGGGTTGTTTGAAGAGTGGGTTAAAGAGGTTTTTGAAAGGGGTTTAGTAACGGTCAAAAACGGCGGGAAAGAGGGCATAAGTGTAATTAACCTATGTTTGGGGGGTATAGATATGATTGACCAAGGGGAGGTATACGAGGAAGAAGGATTCATGGGTACTTGTCTACCCAACAGAATCCAAGTTTCCTTTGTTGATTAGCTTCGGCTTTAATTTCTGTTTTTAATTTCTATTATTAGAATTATATAATTACTTATTTTGTTATTACTAGTCTTATTTTATTTTTGCTTTTTTAAGAAGAAAAAGAAGAAACGAATTATGACCCAAGTAAAGTGGAACTTGACCGCATTGTTCTTTGTGTAAACATAAGTTGCCTCGCTTCATGATAGAACGTGCTTTTTTAGGAATAGTGTTATCACCTTTTCATTCCATTATCTCTCGTATAGTTTAAATCAATTTTTCAATTTTTATTTTACATAAATTCGTTTAAATCTTCAATCTAATGTACATCGTTTGATGTACTAATATTCTTTTCTACTTTGAGATTACGTATCTTCTTTGATCCGAACTTTTAAATCACAGATTAAAGTTAAAATATATTCCCCTGTTTAACCCCAATAAAAGAAAAGAATATCGTCTTTCCCCAAAACAAATTTTCTTATCCTTTGCAATATGGTTGCATTAGCTTCAACATTAATATCTATGTAGTATTAAAAATTGAATGATGTTACTTCAGTGATTACTGTCATGGTCGATGTTAGAGATCAATGTTTTAACTGGTTATTAAAGATTCTACAAACAACTGTAAATTCTAAGATTTTTTTTTTCTAATTTTTTTGTCTACAATCTTTTGTCACATTTTAACAATGTAACAACAAAGAAAACAAAATCTAAAATAGCACTTCAACTGATTTTTTTGAGTGAAAATGTACATTATTTAAAGCTTTCATGTGAACTAAATATATTGTTTGTCATATTGTAGTGGAAAGGTCATTATGCCAAAGAGTGGCTCAAGACAGTGTTGGCCCAATATTCGTGTGTCTATATATATGTAGTAATTATGACACTAAAACACCTTTGCATTGCATGCCCATCTAATCCTCCACTGCTAATTGTTATATATTAATGGATAATATATGCCTACAAACTCATGATCAATTATGTATGTGTTAGGCAAACCAATTGTCATATCAATGATTAGCATTTCAATTTAATTAAATTTAAGTTTAGTTTATAGACCTTGTAGACCTTTCATGCGTTGCACTATAAAACAGCTTCTGATGTTAGTACTCCTCCTTTACATCTATCTATATGGTAACTGATAAGATTGTAGTATCGACAATAAATAAAAAGACTAGTGTAGTGTTGTGCCGAAAAAAAAAAAGACTAGTGTGGTAGTATCAGCATGTGAAGTAGTTGAACTTTTTAGTGAATTCAGTGTAGATTGATATATATATAATGTGTGTGTTTGTGTGGTATGTGAATATGAAGGTGTATTAATAAAATTATTTGTAGAAATTTTAAGTTAGTTATTCGTACAAAATATAGGCACACATTATCACTATTAAACGAAAATGCCATATTGTGTGACTCAATATTATAGAAAACGAAACTAATTAAAATCGTTTTCTAATTTATTGAATACTAGGTTTCAATTTTCGATTAAACGTGGAGGCACATACTATCCACTACAAACCAACCCCAACTTTTTGTGTATTTAATCTTATTGTTAATTGAAGAAATTAAATAAACAAAAGTTAATTTAAATAATTTTGACCAAAAAGGTGTAATAATAATACTAGTCACAATATTTGTATCAGACGGCGGAAATGGCCACTTTCTCCGGTTTTAAAAACATTGTTTGATATAACAAAATATTTTAATCCCATTAGTGGACTCATTTATATAATATCGGTTATTATAATTTAGAAAAAAGCTCTCTATTGTCCTACGAAACTACTTTGTCCTATCTCAAAACCGAATCCCACTAGCCATTTTTTATAACAAAACTTTTTCCTTATGGCGCATTGTTGAAGCTTATTAAAGCTGAATTTTGTAAAAAAAACTCAATAAATGGAAAAAAAAAAATCCATAATTATGTAAAATTTACTCTTAGTCCATGTAGAATTTGATCTGATATTTTTTCGCCAGAATTTCATATGACAGAGCCCAAGTTAGTATATCTTTCTTTACGTGTTTTGGTTCTTTAAAACATAGCTACATGAGTTTGATTCAAGTATAAGGGTAAAGACAATTAATTGGGTTAGTAATATGTTGTAGAGTTCGTGGGTTTAACTGAGAATTTCAGAAGTAGGCCCGGCCCAAAAAACAAGCCACAATTTATTTGGGTCTCAAAATTTAAAGGCCTTATTTCTGTAGGGCTTCTTCGACTACAAGACTGAAACGAACATGAAATCGGCGCTAACGGAGAAGAGAGAAAGTGGTGGGTACTCAGTGAATCGCCACTACTGACGCACAGAGCGCAGGACAACATTCTTTGTCTTTGTTTCGAGTTTAATCGAACTAAAGTTGGTCTTTTTAAATCGCTGGCAAGTGTCTTTCAACATTTATGTTCTTATCCTGCTCTTTGGTTCCAATTCTTGCTGTTGTGTAACTGTATTGAGAAAAAGCACTCTACTTTAGGGTTTGTAATCTAGAATTGGGGAATTATAATGTTTATGCTTCGGTTTATCTTTACAAAAATTGGTTAAAGTTAGATCCTTTTGCATTTTTTGCTATACTGTGAAGTTGATTTGATATAGCTATATATGTAAATGGTGCTTACTGGAAATTGATTCTATATATGTAGTAGTCTTGGAGATGGTATCATTTGTATTGAATCACATTGAGATGGTATCACTCACATTTTTGTGTAAACTGTTTCAATTTTGCTGAATCTGTGTTCCCTTTTGCACCTATGTCTTGTTTCCTTTTGACACAGGTTTAAGAACATGCCTAAAGAGGAGAGTTCGAAAGTCACTCGAAGAAGCACTAGGTCATCAGCTTCTGTAACTGTTGAGAATCCAGAACCTATTGAATCCCACCCACCAACCATTGATGATCTCACATTTGGGGAAGAATCAATCACTTTGGATGCTGTTTTATCTGATTTTCCAGGCAGACGCTCTCAGATTTTCGACTTTATTCGACTTATGGGCCCGTTGGATTGCCCTACTCTCCCAATAATGATCTATGGAGGCGCTTCTACTGGAAAAACCAGTGTTGTTCTTCAGGTGCTCAGGCATCTCAATCGCCCCTTTGTTTATTCAAGCTGTCATACATGTTACAATCCGCGTATCTTGTTTGAGTCGATCCTGAATCAGTTGTTGCTACATAGGAAATGTTCTTCAAACGGGTACTCTAGTGCGAAACGATGTGACAAGCCATCTGATTTTGTCAACTTGCTTCGTGAAGCCCTTAGTAATGTGATAAAGACTCTCGAGTCTGCTTCCGGAACCTCAAGTCTAAATAAGCCAGATGAAAAACCCATGGGGAAGATGGTGTACTTAATACTTGATAATGTGGATCTTATCAGAGACTGGGACAAAGGCTCTATGATTTTGCAGTTTCTTTTCAGTTTGGATTCTGTTTTGAAGATGCCTCAACTTGGTATAGTACTTATCAGCGGATTGCCACCAGATGTGTATTACTCAAACATGGGATACACAGACCCTATACCTCTTTTTTTCCCTGCGTATTCTGAAGAGGATCTTCGTCAAATTTTCTTGAGAAATCAAGCTAACCCAAAACTGTACTCTGCATTTCTCGAGTAAGACTATAGTACATTCTTGCCTCCCTGCTAGTTTTCTCTATTCTTTATTCATATTATTTACTGATTTAGTTTTTGGTGTCAAACAGCGCCGTGTTGCGATCATTCTGTAGAGTCACCAGGAGAGTTGAGGAACTTTCCACTACCTTCTCGTCATTGTTCAGAAAGTATTGCGAACCTCTTGATGATTTAGGGATTTCACCCAATGAAGACATGAAGAGAAGGCTGTATAGCTATCTTAAACCGTTTATAGCTCCTTGTTTAAATGATATATTCAGGGTCTCCAGTCACCCTCATGATGGTGACACCAGAGGCGAGAGAAGGCAGAAAGTCAGCTACAGTTCTGAAAACCGTGAAGAACTTAAAATATTGGACTTCCATGTGTCTACTTCAGCAAAGTATCTTCTTATTGCGGCATTTCTCGCTTCGAGAAACCCAGCAACGCTAGACGCGTCGATGTTTGACTCCACAGGAGGCATGGATAATCGTAAAAGAAAGCGGAAGTAAGTTATCAAAAACAGTGTCATTGTTTTTCTTTTGGTGTGTTGCTTAGTAGAATAAGATTTGATTTACTGAGTTTGATAATAAGTCTAGTAAAAGCATGTAATGGTAATGATGGTGTGATCTCGTGATACATTCTAATAAAATAATCTGATTTGTTCTTCACAATTTCTCAGGGCCTCTGAGAAATCAATGGAAAAGAAGGAAATCGCAGAACAGGAAGCAGTCATGAAAGGACCTGGAAGCTTTCCACTGGAAAGACTATTGGCAATATTCCAATGTATTGCCTCAGTTGGAGATTCTTCATTTGGCGAAGAGAACGAAGGAGAAGAAGAAGAAGACGCAACGGGTTACGACAGAGAGAATAACAATCTGATGTCTGATATTCTGCTGCAAGTGTCAAGTCTTTGTGATGCAAACTTTTTAATCAAAAGCGGAAGCTGCCCATTAGAAGGTTCTATTAGGTACCGTTCTATGGTCTCTGAAGACCTGGCTCTGAAGGTAACACCTTATTTGCAATTCTCAATTCTTATAACAGAGGATGATACAAAGAAAATTCTCAATTCTCAATCTGATGCACCTGTTGTTATTTGTTTTCCTCTGATATGTGTTTATAGGTTGCGAAAAGCCTCAGCTTTCCACTAGCCAAATACTTGTACAGAAGATAAGGAAATGTGAAATTCAAATGTTTTGGGAGCAAGAAACTAACGGTACACTCTCGATTGAGCTCTTGTATTGTAGAATTTAGCATGGTTTTTGGTTGTATCGGATACTTAATAGTATTTAGAAGCAATTTCCCACTTAACTATGTGGTCTGTAAATATTTGTGTAAACATTTTTAGTAGAGTTTCTATGGCAATTGAGTTCGGAAGCCATCTTGGTTTTTGCTAAATTCTGTTGTTATGAGACAAGTCTTGAATCCTAGTTTAGTTAGGTTGTTTCATTTATTTTCAAACCTGAGAATAAGGTTAAACTTGTTTGTTAAGCAATCAAACTCTAAAAACGAGTGAGGTTTTTGTTTCCATCTTCTTGTCGACTTAAGTTTTTGTTTGGCAAGATATAATTTTTGTTTCGTGAAGCCTGTCACTTTGTATATCATCAACAGATAGTTTCTACACCTTATAAACTTTGGTTACAAAGACTTAAGATTTTTAAAAGAAAAAATAAAATAATGTATCGTTGGAGAGTTTGCCACGTCACCCTATTCCATCTTCTATAAATACATTGTCGTTGTAGTGCTATAAACCCTACACCAAGTCTTTCTCAAAAACATATCTTTACACTTGAAAAAAGTTTTTTCCTTTCTTAGTAATAAAAATATCGTTTTCGTTTCTTCTTCTCCACAGTTCTAGATTTTTCCAGAAAGAAGAAAGACAAGCCTAGAAATATTATAAAGATAGACACAAAGAAGGTCTGAGAATTGTGAGTAAAAAAAAGAGAAACAAAAATGTGTTTGGAAGTTGTGTATCATGAAGAGAAGACGGAGCTTGGGCGACAACAAGCACCAGGGATGTGTCCATATTGCGGCGGAAAAGTATCGGCGGTTGATATAGAGACAAAGTGGTTGTTCTGTTTCTTACCACTTTGTTTCAAGGTCAAACGCAAGTACTCTTGCTCTTCCTGCGACCGTCGTCTCGTCTTGTATTATTGAAGAAACACATAGAGAGATGCAAAAATGAAGAAAAGAAGAAAACCAACAAAGAAGAAACAGAGGAGAAGTTGAAAATTGTTATCTATTTCATTTATTTGTTTGCTCCTCTCAGTATTGAGGTTTTTGCAGATTTCCTCCTGTGACTTGTGATTTTGCCCCTCTCCTGGTGGTGACATTGGTCAATTTTCATTGAGATCTTTATTTTCTCGTCTGAGTTTTGTTCATTGTATATAATTTGTTGGATTGTTTAATAAAAGATTGTTATTCTTAAGTGACTTTGTTTACTACTTATTCTTTTTGTTCATTTAAATTATTAGTAATTCCTTTGACCAAACAAAAATTTATTACTAATTCCTAGTAATCCCCTTAACTGCGTTAATACACCATGAGTAGGTTTTCTTAAGTCTTTAATAAAGATTATGTTTCGAGTAAAAAAAGTCCTAGCCAATGATATATTCTCTAAACATAAAATTATGTTCAAGAGATAATTAAGCACCATAATATTTTTTACTCAAAAACATAAATTTTAACAGAAGTAACAACATGGAACCATAAACAATTTATGGGTAAAGATTACTATATGAGTTAAGTTGTAACTTGTATAAAATGTGGAGACGAATGAACATATTAAAATTCGAGAAATCTATGGTTTACGAAGTTTTACTTTTACCGCAAGATTCAACAGGAAATATGTTAGATAATTGTTGGAAACTTACTATGTATTTGAGTGATTGATAAGAGGGTTTATGTATATGGATGAGGCCAAAGTATTGCTGTACGTCTTAGCTGGACTGACATGATGTAGACTACAAAAATTGTTGTGGTCCAAAGAGCTACAATTTATGTATCGTTAACGTTCACTTGTTTTGAGAATAGACTTGTGTGTCCACAAAAGGTATAGGAATGAATCTTCTTACTGTTTTTTTTTTTGGTTTTAAATCTTCTTACTCGGTTGCATATTCGAGTATCTTTTACTTTGATTCCATTTCGTTTGATAGTTTTCGAAGCCATAAAAATTAAGAAGATCCTGGTTTTGAGATTATTCTAATTAATCGCTAAAGTTCGATTCAACACATGCCAAAGACTATTATAACTTATGTAACATATATAAACTGAGATCCGAACCAAACATCTGTAAACCTATTTCATTTAGTTTTGTTAGGTCCAAAGAAATTTGCAGGTTTAAACAAAGCATATTCAATCCTGACGTAGTCCATGGACCATGTGTCAGTATATCCTTACACAAAAAAAAAGGTACCAGATGGATGTTTGTTACTTTAACACTATATTAATAAATCTCGATTATCACTGTTAGGTATATCAATAAGATGTTGCCGATGCTGATGCCGATGCTGCTCTATACAATTAGAGAATCAGTCTAATTATAAATTTGGAAAATGAAACCATCCAAGTATACCTCTAATATTATATCATATCCTTTTTAGTTGCTCTAGTTGATACCATTGTAAATACATCATCTTCATATTCTTTCAACTCTTCTTTTTTTGTTGACAATGTTTCAACTCTTAGTTTTTTTTCGTAATCAATAAATGGATTACTACTATAGTCAATACTCAATACCTAACTTTATATACAAGTATAGTTTATTAGTAGTTTTGGTATACTTTGATACATATCCAGAACTGCCGGTACATTTCAACATCTTACTTTAAATGCACTAGAAACTTTCCGTATTTGATGATTTAGGTAAGATCTATTACAGATATTTTATAATATGTATTGGTGGAACAAGTCGTATAATAACTTGAATAACAATTACTGGAATCGCATGTACATGATAAAAGGGACAGAGGCAAGAACAAGTGGACAGGTGTTGGGCTGTCACTTATCATCTTTTTTTTTCTGGTGGATAAGCCCAAAAAAAAAACTCTCCCTATCTCTTTCTTTAGATTCGAGACGTACTATTCCAGATCTTATCATTTTCCGAATTAAAAAACAAAATCATAACAATAATTGAATATTCCCACACGGTGGTTGTTCTTTTTTGGTACCCAGAGTAGATTTTTTGCAATTTTCATTGATGGTTGGGTTCGTTTTCTAGTCTAGTAGTAGTAGATCCACATCACGACTCTTCTTCTACTCGAAGAAATTACTTTCTTTTGTTAAAATGAATATATATTTTAATGACTTTATGTCACATATGTTTAGATATTTAACCTAGTTGGTATTTAAATCTGGTTTTTGAGTGTAATAAATGATAGAATTGCAAGAAAGTTACTGCGTCTTCGATTTCCGGTTTGGTTTTAGTAAGAAGACATATATATTTGATTAAATTTGGGAAATAGTTGGACCCATACCATCAAGACTTGTTGGCAGTAGATAAGGTTTGATATTCAAATCTCAAAAGCATTGTCGTTGGACATTCTCATGTCTTTTCTGTGCCCGAAAAGCCGAACTAACACAGTGTCCCTCCATTTCTTTTACTTTTCAATGTGGCAGTATAACATTCGAACTTACGAAATGTTTATACTTATGTTTCAACTTTCACGTACAATTACCATTCACAAATCACAATCACCTTTCACAAATCATAGTCACCACTCATGACTCACCACATCACCAATCACGATCACTTCAGGTCTTTCATTCGACTCTGCAGACCGGATTCCTAGTTTGACGGTTCACATGATTACAACGATTGAAGTTGTACATTTTATGTTTTTGGAACAGTTTATAGATCATTGATTGGTGCTACTTCAACTACGTAGTGCTTTTTTTTTTTTTTTGGCTAAGAAAAATGTAGCGCTTGTCATTCTTGCTGTTGCGTAATAATCAAATTATTTCTAACAATCTGTGGAATAGAATGATGAAACTGTTAAATTATTTATTTATTTTTCTTAAAAATATGGTATAATAGCTTTATGTTGTTGTTAATAAATGATGGAATGACGTACATATATTATATACACACACGATACATGAAATGGTGTGCTATAATAGAATCATAAAACATAAATTAACATTTTGCTGAGAGCTCTTTAGCCAGGTTGTTACCACCTTTGGTCTACTTCTTCTCGGGCGTGTGTTTGTGGGATTAATTAAAATGTAAAGGATTTAGGTCCAGCAAAGCAAATAGTATTGAAAAGTCGACATTTCACATCATTGACGACAAGTAACTGCAGAATCACAAGATTATTAGTAATATTTTATGTTATTAACGTTGATTTTTCTCGGATCGACTTTTGCGTCGTTTATGGTTTTCTTCTTGTTCGAGAGTACGAATTGAACATAGAATCAAACCCAACCAGACCCATTATATATGAAACAAATGAAACTGGGTTTTATGTTTTAGTAAGTTATCTTTCATACCAACTAACCAAAGTATTAAACCAAACAAAAAAAAAAAAACTAACCAAAGTAAAGTAAACTACTAGAGAAATACATACACGTACATAAGATTAGGGAATTTTGCCAAATGTACCACATTTTGGGAAAATCCTAGCAAATGTACCACATTTGAAATGGATTTAGCATCCATACCACATTTGGTGTTTGTGTGGCAACTCTTGGACGATTTTGCCCTTCTCTGTGTGTCAGGTATGTGTCAGGGGAAGGAGCTACAGTAGACGCCGGTTGGGAAACGGGGACAACTTTGTGTCAGAGAAGGACAACTTTGTCTGAAAGACAACTTTGTGTCAGAGAAGAAGGACAAAACATTGCATTAAATGCAGTTTACATTTACCATGGACAATAATTATGAAATAGAGTGAATGATGTCCCCCAAGAATAAGTCCAGATCTCTTGATTGTCCATCGCCAGATGATGTGGTTTTACCAGCCAGAGATCTGGATTTACTCGGGGACAACTTCTCTTGATTGTCCATCGCCAGATGATGTGGTTTTACCAGCCAGAGATCTGAATTTACTTGGAGACAACTTGATCTTTATTTTATTCCGCCAAAGAGCCGAAGACGAAGATCTGGATTTACTCAGGGACAACTTTGTTTTACCAGAGGGACGAAAACGGTTACCAATGCGTTAGGAGAGAGACTGTGGACGGCAGAAAATTCGGAGACTACGAAGATCTGGATTTATTCGGGGACAACTTTGTTTTACCACCCAGAGGGACGAAAACGGTTACCAATGCGCCAGGAGAGAGAAAAATGACGGCAGACTGTAGCTCCTTCCCCTGACACATTCATGACGCAACCAGAAGGGTAGTTTCGTCTTTCCAGATGACGAATGTGGTATGGATGCTAAGTGGACTCAGAAAGTGGTACTGGGCCTAAACTTTTTGAAAAAAGTGGTACTGAGGCTAATTTTCCCATAAGATTATTTGAATCTTAAAAAAAAACTCTGGTTTGGGGATTTTCGTCTCTAGCACATGGGTGAAATATTCAACAACGATAAGTAACGAGATTACTGGGCCTGGTTTGATAGTACATGTCCGTGGCTTTGATTTTTTGGGCTCTGAACAAAACAAACTTCATTCAAATAGACCGATCTTAACAGGCCCACGAGTAATTAAATTAGGTTCCTCACTGTTGACATTTATTTTGTTCTAGTTCTGCTTTGTTGAAAACGGCATGGTTGGGCTTTGTTGAAAACGACATTTTTGGGCCGAGTATTTTTTAGTTTTGGCAATTAGTAATGGTTTTTGAACTGTAGCATAATATCATTGATCCATATATATAATATGAGAGGTCTCCATATTTTCTCGGCAGATAATAATATCATAATTTGGTGTACCAACTTAGGAAAATGACTAATAGCCTCACTTAGGGATTACTCAAACCCTTAGACTTATAATCGAGTAGTCTTAAAAATATAAGTAATTTACGACGACGACCAAAAAATGTGAGTAGTTTATGAGTCTTATATAAAGATATGGTAAGAGTAAGGAGTCACATTCACGAGCAAGTGTATGTGCTTTCCTAGAAATTTCTTCCACATGTCTACATGGTACGAAATGCCAGTTGATTCCAATTCTATCATTATTGATATAGATAGCTAGATAAGAATATGAAGCAAACATTATTTTATAAGTTTCCTCTACTTCATAATTCAATACAAGAAAATTGTCGATCATATAACATCGTTTAAGAAAGATTTTTTTTTAAAAGAGAGAGAATTATATTTTCGAAAACGCAAAAAAAAAAAACAATAGTATAATTTAAGTTTTGTTTTTTTAGCAAAACAACCACAGATCTGCAAATTCACTGGATCATCAGCTCTATTACAGTATTACTGGTCATAATAATCTTTTTTTTGAAAAAGAACTGGTCATAATAATCAATTCTTTGTTTAGC